AAGCCCTATATACCCCCCCCCCCCCCCGCGTCGAGGATAGTCTGTTTACAATCTTTCATACAGAGTCATCAGCGCATGGGCCAATGCCAATTGACAGTGGCATGCAAAGCTCCGCTTGATGTGACAGCTTTGCTTCTTGCAGCGAGCAGTAGGAACAGCAACGCTAGTAATGTTCCCAATAGTAGTAATTCTAATAGTAGCAATAACATCATACGAATAATAGGAAGAGTAATAGTAAGTAATAGTAGTGGTAATAGTAGTGGTATTAGTCACGGTAACAACCAAAGTAATGGTCATAGTGACAAAAATTAGTGATAGGGTAGGTCATAGTAGCAGAACTGATAATAGCAGTACTTATACAAGCATCGTAGTAATCATAGAATGCAGTCCACACACGAAGCTCCACTCCGCATCCTTCCAGAAAGGCATGGGAAGCTTGCTTTGCCTCGTGCTGGCTGGATTTTTTCTCTTACTCACCATGGAGCTGAAGTTTATCTTGTGGCTAGCCGCACATGGAGTAAGGTTTGTTTCATTATGGTTCTCGGTGAGTGTGTGAAAAGGGTTCCTTAGGAATCTTGGTGCTTGCATATATTTGGTGTCCAGTTTGGGGAACATCAAGTCCGTATTGCAGTGTTCGGATGTCTTTTAGATTTGACGCTGGTCAAAGTCAGAGGGCATGAGAAACATGTATAGGTGCCTGTTAGGCTCCATGAAGTTGGTGTCTTCTGGGCTTACTAACATCTGGCTGGGCCATGAGCCGTTAATTGAGATGTTCGACTGAGGATTTATGAATGGGGCAACTGTTATGAGCTGGAATGCCACGATCCTGCCATAAAGCATGGCTTTGCTGGAATACTTTCAATGATCGCAACGGATATTTTGCTGGCATTGCTTCTCGTTGTGGCCACCGGCGAGCTTTGCAAGGCGTTTGCGCGGCACATTGCCAAGCGCCGCAGCTGCAAAACAACAGAGCGCATTCGCATGCAGCAAGGTTCTGCTGTGAAATGGTACCCAATACAGGGTAAGATTGTATACCCTCCTTTTGGGTATAGTATTTTATACGCAGCGTCTAATCTTACTTGGTTCACTCACAAAAAGGCACCTCTCAGGAGTTGGAACTTTCGCAGCCTCCTTCTCCGACTGTTTGTGGAGCACTTCACAGCCATCACCATTGACATCATTGCCACTATTGGCACCTTTTCATACCTGGCCTTCTCCTTCCTCCCCGAGTGGGAAATGACTCCAGGGACGGAGTGGTGGGACTCCTCTAGCTGCGCAGGCTTTTGGGATTTCAAGGTGCCATGGATCTGACGATTTAGATGCTTTTGCGAGCTTGCATCTCTGACACCACTGGCTTACTGTATCAGTATAAATTACCTACACTTCTATAGTACTGTATTTCTATAGTGATTATTACTATATCGCTGTATTGCTATATTGCTATACTACTAAAATTTCTTATTACTGTGTGATTCAAGTACTATCTGACGATGTTACTATAACTATGGAAGCTTGCGAGGCTTGTCGGGTATTGCGCGGCTGCAGCGAGGACGATCCGATCTGCTGCTCTGGCACCCTGTTCTGCGCAAGGTCAAAGCTAGATTTCCAGCAGTGCTGGCCTCAGCAGTCAAACAGAAAGAGATGCGAATGATAATTTTTGAAAGAACGTTGCAGCTTAAGCCAAAATCTCACCTGCATCTCCTGCCCAGGAGACGGGCCCTCTTTGAGGCCTGGTTGGGCGGGCTCTTCTTCGTGGCCCCCTTTGTGGAGGTCTTGATGGAATTCATTGTCCCGTTGGTTGTCAGCTTCTTACGGTCGTCTTAGTTCCTGCCTACTTCCAGATGTTGCAGCACAACCTTCTGATGCTACTTCTCGTACAAGCGTTGTCACCGAGGCTTACCTGATCCATGTGCAAGTTGGGATCACTCGAGGGCGTCTGGATGAGGATCAGCAGAAGCACCGGCTTAGCTCATGCTGCTGCCGTTGCCTTCGAGGACTGAGAGTGAGTCACGTGTCACACATGTCAATCGGAAGTAAAGCGTCACATGGCGCTGCCGTAGTCTCCCAGAAGAGTCTGTACGCCACACTGACTGTTCTACGGAAGTCTAGCAAGGCATTGCTCCCTTTTTTCAGTTACACGTGAGCCTAATATCTGCGCTTCAGCCCTTCACAACGTTTCAAAGTAAGAAATTTGGATAAGTCAGTCAGGCCTCGGTCGTCTGTTGGCCTTTATCTTCTTACTGGATGGAGGCCAATCTGCAGATGCCTTTGTCACAGTGACCCTAGAGCAGTGTCATGATGAGTCTTGCGGTGGCTTTTATTCTGAACGCAGGCGTACTTGGCTTGCGCTATGTCTTCAAAGGCTTTCCGTTCAAAGCGCCCAAGATTCTGGATTCGCGCGTGACGTCGGAGGCCTGAGGATGATCCTCCCTGTAAAAAACGATGAGGGTGGGTTCAGCCTTGGCTGCTACACGGACCCCAACATGGCATTAAACACAACATCTGTGTGAGTGTGTGTTTTTGTTGGGTGGAATGGGCCGTGAGTTTAACCTGTGGTGGGGATCTAGCTGGAATGGATAGGCGCGGGATCTATGCCTGTCAAGTGTGCCAGGCATTGGGGCCACTCTGCCTTTTCTGCAAGAAGGACATGAAATGGACAAGTGGCGGTGAGAGCTGGACCTGTCGACACCATGACGTTTGTAGGTCAAGTTGTGCAAACAAGGGTCCATACCGCTGGCAACTAGACTGCACCAGCACACAGGCATCTACAAATGCACGCCTAATCTGAGAACGTTGCCTGTGCTTCAAGTTTCAGCTCCTTGTCGACTCGCTCTCCCGTATATCATGATGGCTTACTAAACGCAGGTGTTCTAACTTCGGAATACGAATATGTCACAAACATTTGGTGCCGGCAGCATCGGTAATTCAGAGCAAGGGCAGGAGGAGGAGGCGCTTTGCTGTACCTGGCTGGAATGGACGGGCGGCGGAGCGGAGCAGGAGCAGGGAGCTGGTCAACAATCACACTAAAGCCTGCTCGAGGGCAGTGTCGTAACACTGAGCCGCTCTTCATCATGCTGGGAAGGGGCCAAAGAGATCAGGGAAAGTCTTCAGACCTGGTTGGTGAGTAATTGCAACTAGTACCGCTATTAGTAGCAGTATAACAACAGTGACGTGGTTGGGAAAGAAAGTAAGAGTAAGACTAAGAGCAAGAGTGCTAGGAACACAGAAGGACCAGTAATTTATAGTCAATGGAAGCTGACGCGGTGCAACGAGTAATGGGTGGGGCAGCTAGCCGTTGCTCGAAAAAATGACACTGTGACAGGGAGAAAAGCCGAAGAATAAAACGCAAAGGGATGATGATTTATTTGCCTCGTGGTTTGGAGTGAGCAATAGTAAGGAATCCTTGATTTTAAGGGATTGGATTCAAGAACGGCATCATAACAAAAGCCTCAAGAGCTGATGAGCCTCGCGATGCACTCTTTGAGGTTGCCCGGCTCTTTTGAAGACCCACTTCTCCAATCAGCTGTCCGCAGGTTTTTTGCTATAGAGTATATTCAGTACATTAAAGTATATTGCAGTATCTTACGTTGTTCTTACGTCTAGTTGTGATCCTTGGCGGAACACATCTTGCAGTTCAGGGAATCTACAATTAATGGTGCTGACATGGGGGCAAGCTATGTGAAGCTGGGAGCTCTGCCGGCATGTAGGGTTCTCCAGTCAGAAGCAGCGAAGGCATTGTTCACACTGCGACATCGACATTTGTGCAGATTGCCACCCGCAAGGGGCGACGGTACTGTACGGGCTTTTCGGGCCACTAGACCAGAGAATCTGGGTTGCTGTTAAAGAACTCAAGTTCAGCTAGTTTAATAAGGAATCCCACTTATGTACTATATGCCCAGAATTAATTTAAGTTCCTTAAAGCCCTATATTCACCCAGTTTCCATTTCATCTTCTCCATTTGATTCTCCATTATAGGCGTACTAATATGGCAAATTAATTTAAGTTCCTCGAATCCCTATATTCCCCCATTATACGGTAATAATATGGTAACTTGATTTAAGTTCCTTAAGCCTAAACCCCAAACCCTAAACCCTAAAACCCTAAACCCTTAACAGTAACCCCAGGAATTTTGCGCCGAATGGCGCCTCTGGATGAGCTTAAGCTGCTCAAGATGAACTTCTTAATCCTGGTAATGTTGCTTGTCTTAGAGCTTCATGCACTTGCCTTAGCCTTGTCTATGACATGTTATGTTTCCTAGTATGATTATTTCTCCTTACCCTAAACCCTAAACCCCTTGGTCTTATTATCAGTGAGGTTGTATTATTTCTAGTACTAAGTACTATTCCCAGTCCCTAGGCCCGAAACCCTAAAAGGTTTGCGCCGATGAGTCCCATCGGCCTGATTCCACAAATGCTTGCGCGGCAGCTGGATCTGCATTCCCGGCTTCCCAAACTACTCATGGTGCCCTGGCTGGTTTATATAGGGGATAATACGGGCTTTTTCAGGATTATATAGGGGTTGTATAGGGGTTATATAGGGATGGTAGGGTTTTCTAGGGAAATTACACCAAAGAAAGGACAGGAAAAATATGAACACTACAGTACAATCTTGGGGTTTGGGGTTTGGGGTACAGGGAATGGAGAAGCAAATGGAAAACTACTCGAATGGAGAAGCAAATGAGCAGCGCTGTTTAAGGCATGTAAGGGCTATGATGGAAGTGATTCTGCAAGAGTGCTCACGTAGCCTCTGGCCTGCAGGGCGTAGTGTCGCGTGAGCACGTAGAACAGTCTTGTTCGCGTAGTCTGCGTAGTTTGTATGTTGTGTAAGCAAGAAGAGGTTCGTGCTGCATAGAGTTGTCCGCAGCCCAGGGATGCCACGTTGTCCATATACGAAGCACGTTAGCAATAGTGTGTTCGCGTAGCCTGTTCTGCAGGGAAAGCAGCAATCTGCATAGTTTGCATAGGCAGTCTAGCTTAGCACCAAGACTTGAACCTGAAAAAATGTTCGAATGCCCAAATGGAACATGACACGGAAACTCGCGCGATTCTTGGGACTATATAGAATGATTACCCCCAAGAATGGAGAATCAAATGCACACTAACATGGAAAATGAGATCTAAACTGGAGTTATGCAGTGTCTGCATAGGGATGTTACCCCCAAAATGAGAAATCACCTAGAAAAGAACATGGAAACTGAAATGGATACTAGAGTCATATAGAGATTAGTTCTATCCAGCTCGTATTTTGATGGCTTTGGCCTACTTCTTAGGACTTTAACTTTGGGGGTTTCCTCCTCATAATAGTCGGGAGGCTAAAAGGTTGATGTTTGGCAGGGGTCCTACAGTCCGCTGAGGTACGGCGGCGAAACTTTCCGATGGACAATCGCCTTGCACACGCCAGCCAAACCATGTTCTGTCTTCTGATCTTGCCTTTCGTAGCATACTGGCATACAGGCCAAGCTATGAGAATTCATCTGGGATTATGTCGCCATATAAACAGCAGGATTATGCACGGGTTATATGGGATTACACCGTGTGTATGTAAAGGTTATACAGATAGGCCCACTATGAAATTGCATTTACTTAAGATGAGAGTCCCTGGAGGTTTGATTCTGATCTCGGAAAACGTGGAGCTGCATATGCACCCACAATCTGAAATACTCCTTACTTGGTTCGCATCTGGTTTGGTCATAGCATCGCTGTCCTTGCTCGGCCAGTGGCTGATTTCTCGATGTTCGCAGACGCTGCGGTGGGGTAAAGCACTCTCTCGACACTCGTCTAGCATTATTAGTTTTAGCATGTTGGTAATATTCTGAGGGATGACCACCTACATAACCCATGCATAGCCCCTTGAACTTTATATCCCCTACGTATTTGTGCAGTTTCCAGCATCTGGTAGTTTCCATACAAAACATTATCAGCCTTATCGTAGGGACCCCTAGAGGGGTAGCCCTAATTTTGGGAAACCCTAAACCCTAAACGCTAGATAGTAGCTTCCATTTTTCCATTATCGGAATATATCCAGTATCCCCACATAACCCTATATAATTTTGGGTATTTTCGGGCTGTTGACAGTCAAGGTGGATCCTCTGCTATCATTGGCCATACCTCCACTGCAAAAGTATCCTCCGAATCGGAGGCTGTGGAGAAGGAGAATCGGGATGGATATTTCCGGTGCTGTTCGATTCCGTGGTGGGAGTGCGCAGCCAAAACTCCCTATACAAGCCCAGTGTCCATTCCTCTTTCTTCTTTTGCCTCTGACTTTCCATTATTCTGACACCAAGCCTTCGCGTACATCCCCATAAACCCCCAATTTCCATTTCATTTTGCATTCGATTTTACATTTGATTCTCCAGTATTCGTCATTTAGGCTCCGATTCACAGATCTGGAGTCCACGGCGAGCTCCTCCTGCAAATCCGGTTGTAGCTGTGTTGTGCAGCCAATGGCATTCCCGACCTGGACCCCCAAGTATGTAGAATGATCGCCTTTTTTGGCTATTCTTTAGCAGGTCTAAGGCCATTGTCTTACCTACTTCTGAAGTCCAAGTACATGCTGGTATAAAATCCCCTCTCAATCCCTAAGATCAAGTTTTTCCCATAAGAGACCCTTTACGTTGGGGGGACATTTCACATTAGAGGCGGTGGGTGTCGAATAGTAGCATGAACGATTATTCATATTGTTGGGCAGGGTTTCCTCGTCCGCTCGGTGAGCATGATGGCACAGAAGTTCTGGTTTCACGCATCCAGAAAACCAGCTCTACTACGGGGTTCTTCGATCTATCTAGAATTTAGGGTTCACGTGTACTTTGGGTACTTCTAAGGTTGGTCCTTGGTAGGTGACCTTAATCCTAAAACCCTAGAAGCCTAATTAAGGGCCGATAGTTAGGACCCAGGAAAATAGATAAGCGCCCACATTGGGGGGCCCACGACGACAGCACCTCCGTGACAACCTCCTGCTGTTCGCCTTTTGTTAATCCCCTCCCCTGAAAACCCCTTTGACCCCACCTCCCTGACAATAGACAACCCCATCTGGTAGCATGTATACATAGAGGGGGAAACTTCATTACCAGAAAGTTAGAGTGTTATTGAATATGATTGATATCTATCATTGGTAATATTATCCCTAAACCTTTGCTATTAGGGGATGGGGCGGGGGTTGCCAAGGAGATCATAGGTCTGGAGGTTGGAGTTCTGGCTTTGCAGCCTTTCTCAAGCCTGCCTAAGAAGATATTGAGGTTTTAGGCTTTAGGGTTCCCCCCTACGGTAACACTTACCACTTGTGGTAGGAGTTTTCGCAACCCCTTAGGAAAACCCCCTGTCGGACAGTTACTGTAGAGGAGGAATGACTCAAGCTATGTTCTAAAGGAACCCCAGGCATTGCAGGTTCACAGACCTCTTGTGCCCACGCAGGATCAAGATCTGTCGCCCGCAAGCTTTCCAAAAACACCGCCCAAAACACGTGTACGCCTCTGACCCGAGAGCGGCTGCTAATGCACCACGCACCCCAGAGGGGATCCAGCGTATCTCTTGGCGACCTTTTGAATTGTTTGCATGCAAAGCATCTGTAGCCTATCCGTTTTGCGCAGCAGCACCAAAGGCACCTTGCACCCAAGTCGTTTTTCCCGTCTTTTCGGTGCCAGTGCCTTGGCACACGTTTCACGTCTAGGCGCATTGTGCCTGCAACGGGCTGCTCAAGCTCGTCTTGCACCAGTCAAGCTCCGAGGTGGAGGACATCCTGCATGGCGACAAGGAATCGAGTCTCTGGAAAAAGGGAGTGCAGAGCTGTTCCATGTTGTCCCAGATTGTTGCATTGCATTGCAGGGATCTCACGTAGTGTCTCTTCACACTGACCGGGCTTGCAGGCAAAGGAAAGAGGAAGACAAGCTTACTTGCATGGTTCGATGGAGTCATGAGCAGCCACTCATGATTATGGATCGTTGAAGCTAGAGAATCCCTGCCGGCTGTTCTTGCCATGACTGCCAGCGCGAGTACTGCCAGAGTGAAGCTTCCCGCCGAGCATGGGCGCTTAGCATCTGCGGGATGAACGCACATGATCGCAGTGAACAGGCCATTGTATAGCCCGGTGCAAGTGGGAACATGTTTGCAGTGAGGCCAAGCAAGTCAAGCAGCACCAATGGAATGCTTTCGCAGAGGCAACACTCGCAGCACAGATGTTAATCGCAAAGCCCTGGATTATGGATAGAGTTTTAAACGCAGTCTACATAGTTATGTGTATATATATATATGTCTATGTATATATATACGGATGATATCTAGGAAGCAATGGGGAATGAAATGAAGACGGAGTCTTTACAAAGCAGTCTCACTGACTTCCCCTCTGCATGTGGTTTTACCCAAGCAGGCTCTATGACCCCTATATAACCCCATATACTCCCTAGCTTCCATTTCATTTTCCATTTTCTTTTCCATTTGATTCTACATTAACCCCAATATAACCCCAACATATTCAACTCTATAGTAGTTTCCATTCGTTTGCCAGAATCCAGGCTCTCAAGGGCAGCTTCCGAAGCAGAATCCACCATGGCCAATGCCTCGACTGGTTTTTATTTACTGGGACCCCAAAGTCTAAACTCCCCAGAAAGGGTTATATAGGGGGTTCTATAGGGGATTATATAGGGGACTACTATAGTTATACATAGATATGATATCGTGTTTGGGTTCTGGGTCCAAACTCTCTGCATAGGAGAGCATCATAGGGCTTATTACAGGGGATACTAGGAGTTTAGGCTATAGCCCGTATGAGATCATATGGGAGCCCCTTCGGGTATAGACCATTTTGTTGCCTGGACACTTTGCCTTCTTTGCTTGCCCTTCAGGCTGCGACCATCTTGCCTCATTCAATGTCAACAACCCAGTTGGCAGCTCTCCCTGATGCTGCACGGATCCCAGACGCTGCCATGCAACTTGCCGACGAGACTAGCTCGCTCTTTAGCCCTACTGGAAAATCAAGAGGGAAAAGAACATAGAAAATTACATGGGGGCTGGGCTTCTACGGGGTTTTGCAGGGTTTAGGCCCTTTAGTAGGGAGACCCAGGTACCAGGTGAAGTCCGCTAGCCACTTGGAAATTGCGAGGATAACACTAGTGTTTCGTACTATGCCTGCCTAGCTCTCACTGCTGTGAGACTTGGCAGAGTCCCCAAAGATACTCAATACAGACCCCCCAAATACAATACTAAACCCTATATAACCCGTATCTATCCCCTTTAACCTCTTTAAAGGTACCCGTAATCTTGGGAAACCCCCATTTAAAATGGACTTGAGGCGTCGGAGCATGAAGCAGAGGACTTGCGGAGCATTGCCTGCGTCTAAGCAAAGGGTTATAGGGCTTATATTGGGATAACGGAAAATAAAATGGAAGCTACTGTAATGGGGTTATATAGGGTTTAGGGTTCAGGTTTTAGGTTGAACGCGGGACGGGACGAGTTAGCGAAAACCTGCAGATATGATCCTGATGCATCCTCTGTATAACCCTATTACAGTAGTTTCCGTTCCATTTTCCATTTTTGTCCGCTTGATTCTCCATTACACGGAGCCCTAAACCCTCAGTAGTTTCCATTTCATGTTCCATTTTCTTGCCAATTTGATTCTCCATTTTTTGCTTATACAATCTGCTTTAACACCTTCATTATCCCTATGTAGCCCCTATACAATCCCTTATGACCCCAATCTTTGCGGGCTTCAAGGTGTCGCAGCTAGAGGCCATGCAGGCGGCACAGAGGTCTCCGCAGCAGGCGGCACCATGGCTGTGCCGCAGAGTCAAAACGGAGGATAGTTGTTGTAGTACAGGAACAGTGCATAGTAGTTTAAAAAATAGCAGCAATAAAGTTCGTACCCACAGTAATAAGGATAGTACTGGCATAAATGGACATAGTCAAGAAGAATGTTGATGTGATGTTATGATGGATGTTCTCATGGGCATTGGCGCTTCCGTTGCAGCCCAACCTGAAGCTGGACTCACTCATCGCACAGCTCATTGCTGCGCTCTTAAGCACTGGCTTGTGCAGCAATCAGAATAGTACTACTAATAGATCTTTCAAAGGTATATGAATAATAGTCTTGATATTATTCTGAATAACCATACTAGTACTAATGATATGCGTATTATTGTTATTATTACTGCGACGTTTTGCTCATATATTCTATTGTTGACCTGGGCAAAATCAACCTTCTCACAGCAATCTCTTCAAGGCTGGACGTCCTGAGCGGCGGCATCGCATGGCTGAATCCTCAGACGATTGAGTCATCAGGGCCTCAGCGCAGCGTCTTATTAATCATACAGTGCTTAGTAGGGAATATGGGATTATATGCTATATTGGGATCATTGGGATCAGGTCTTCTCATTGCCTACTAACAAGCAGTCAGTACCAGTACTCATCAGGGTCTCAGCACAGGAATCACAGCAATAACAATCTTACTGGTTGTTTGTATGGATGAAGGGAATATCATATACTCCCTATACAACATGTTTCCTGATTCCCTACTAACCCCAGTAAGCGATACTAACTAATAGGATTATCGCTCTTCTGGTCATTTCTGATACTGTTGAATTAAGATCATCTGTTACACATGCGCCGGAAAGGCAGTGCTGACAAAATCCGCGCTTCTACGGAAGAAGATTCTCAGCATTGTGCCAGCAGCCCATGGCTCGGTTATTTGCTAATAGCAGCAATTGTGATAGTGACAGTGATAGTGATAGTGTTGGTAATAGCAATAGTACTCGTAGTAGTTTTCTAGCTGCAGGAAAAGGAGTAGTAGTAGTAGTAGTAGTAGTAGTAATACTAGTAGCAGTTGCAG